TGCATGATATCTTAACATCTACATTATAATCCATATATGGACGTGTTCATCTGTGCAGAATATTTTTGATTTTATTCAGCATCACAAGCTAGTGTGTTTGCGTGCGTGCGTGTGTGCGAGCTTTTTTTTTGGGGGGGGGGGGGGGTGGAGCTTTTCCCTCCAGCTTTGCGCATGGATTATTTGAAAATCTGGACTCCTTGTGTTGAATGAGTTCTTGAGGTGTAATTTTTTTTTTGTGTGTGGAATTTGATGCGATGTGATTTTTGGTGTTCATGTTGATCTTGAAATAATATGTTATCATACTAATTTAGATTTTTTTAAAGTGTGTTTAATTATTTTTATACACTCGGCAAAAAAAAAAGAAACTTAACATTATGTAACCCTGCATTTCAGTGCGTACTCATGCGTGATAAGTAAGTCTACCTCATTTTAGAGACCTGTCGATACATTACACAAAGCCGATAATCTCGTGCAGTTGTATCATGCACGGGCAACTTAAACGCCAATTTCCGGGGTTTTTGCACGCATCAAAAAATCTCGTGTCATTCTGAGTAAAACCTCTTACACAGAAACTTGCTCTCATTTACAGTTTCGAAAAAAAAAATTGTTAAATCTTAAGACTTTCAGCAGCCAAGCCACGGCTTTCTGAAAATCAACGTAATCAGGCTGTTGGGATGCTGCCAGCGGGTGCTAAGGTTATGGGACGTTGCACAGCATTTTGGGTACAGCGTCACTTACGCTGGACACGAAACCAGTGAGGATCGAAGGGTTATCTTCAGTTTAGAGTAAGTCATGCTGACGGCAGGGTGCGAATCTATCGTCGCAGAAATGAATCTTTGGCTCAATTTTGCATCCGCGAAAGGGATAGGTTTGTTAGGAGAACTGTGATGGTATGGGGAGGGATTATTGGGGACCGAAAGACTGAGCTTGTGGTTGTGCGCGGCAACCTTACAGCACAAAGTCATGTGTATATTCTAACAAACACTCTTTTTACCATTCATGCAGGCTCACGGTCCTAGGTTAACTTTCCAGTAAGACAATGCAAGACCATACAATGCACGTTTAACAGATAATTTTCTAGTTCGCAACCACGTTAACGTCTTTCCCTGGCCCGCTGACTCCCCGGATATGAATCCCATTGAACATATCGGGGCAAAAAGTGAGGACAAATTACCAGATAGACAACGTTAACAACCTCGCGTGGAATGGCGGGCCCTCCATAACGTCTTAATTAGGCGTCACGTACACTCCACGAGGAGGAGAATTCGAGGGTGTATTGCCAGTTCCGTGGCCACACACGTTACTGAGTTCCTGGATTTTAATTTGGACCCCTGGGCCAGAATTTGTTTGTGTATAAATTGTTTCTTTTGGTTAGATCGACGACAATGTGAGTAAATCGAAGCAAAATTTCATAGGAATAAAATGTAATCAGAATTATCCGGATACACCAATAAGAAATTAAAATATGTAAAGTTCTTTTTTCCATTTTGCTCAGTGTATAAATGCAAAGATAAACATTGAGTCAATTAAGGTCGATAATATATATTTTATTGATAATTGGTTTATTTCCTTCCGCGTATCTTAAAGTTATTTAAGTCTGTATGACAAAGATATTCTGTGAGCAAAAGTTCAATAATGTTGTCCCAATCTTGCCTGATCTTATTATTCAAGCAACACCCGGGACCATCTTTCACAAGTAAAACTGGAATGTCACCAGGCGTTCTGAATAAAATCGGTCGGTTTTAAACCATCCCAAATAAATAAAATGTCTGTTGTTTACAATTTTGCAACCTTATCTAGTCTGGTAAGGACAATACATGCTTGTTCTGACCTGCATTCAAAGCTTTTTTTTTTTCGTAGAATTCTAAATTTGTAACATTATCTAATATACGGTAACAATCGTGAAGACCCTTACAACTTTCATTCCAAATGTATAGGACAATGACGTTATCAGATCTATCTGAAATAAACTGAATGAACCAAAGCTGGCAGCTGATTTAATGGTGTCATAGATATTTGATATTAAAGGCAAATAATGCTTCACAAACAAATACAATTCTACTACTTTAGAAAGAGCAAATATTAATTTTATAATGTTTAAATAATTGTTTTAGAGAATGTTAGATGCTTGTTACATGAAGAAAGTAGCGATAAATGTGAAAGGGATCAAAAAGATGCTTCATGTAATTTACAAATGAGTTATTATTTGGATACTATAAAAGAACATCAGCACTTAAATGTTTTTGAGAAATAAAACTAAAAAGCATTTTTGAGGCATAATATTAAGTAAATATTACAGGAGTCAATTCAATCATTTCTTGTGTGTCATGTTGTTCGCTGCACAAATTGATAAGACTTATTCTGTCTGTTTTGTCCATTTTTCCTCCACATAGTTTGTTAAAAAAGCCAACGGAGGAGTACTTGGCGTTAATTTACCAAGTAATATTACATGCAAATAATGCTGTTATCAAATACGACCATAGAAATAAGCAGTGATTCATTTAGGCATTTTACAGCAGTAAAACTAACAAAATACAATAATTATTATATAATTTTTATAACAAAAAGGGGTGGGGGCGACCGTGGCCGAATGGTTAAGTTCGTTGACCATGGGCTTAAATCATTTACCCCTTACCACTGTATGTTCGAATCCCTTAGGGACTTTGTATTTTTTCATGTGAAAAAGCTTTGTGGTCAGTTAGCTTATGGAACTGTCCACGTCGATGGTTCTGCTGGTTCCCGAAATAATGCACGGAGAGGCACATGAGGTCTTTCTCTACCATTAAAGCTGGTAGCCATATGACCTCTGCTGTGATGGTGCGACGTAAAACCCAGGCTAAAAAACTGCCCTCAAAATACGCGGCATCAGGTCCTAGATAAGAAATCGGTAACGATTTTTCTTGATTAAGATCATTTCCAAGCAATATCTGTTTAGCAATGTTACTAGATCATGTAGATCGAATCAAATAATTCCTCGGGTTAGATTTTTACCACTTCAAAACATTTGATTTTTTTCCGCAAATGTAAATTTCTTTGAAAGTTGATGAAAATGTATTGTAAATTTCAACTTGTAAGTGTATCTTCCCAATTATAATGCATTGATGGTTGTTAGTTTGCTGCATGTGCTCTGAGTTTGCGCTACATTCTAAAGGGAGTGTTATAAAGGACGAACGGGTACATTAATAAATTACTGATAACTTTCCTGTTGTAGAATACAATTAAACCTGTGTTATAACACCTCTGAATAAAGACCACCTTGTAAATAAAGACCACTATTTGACAAATTTTCAATGATAAACAATAAACTTCGAATAAAGACCACTTGTCTTTAAACTACATGTATGGTCTTTCCTCTGGATGGTTTTAATTCACAGGTTTGACTGTATATGTAAAATAACCACAAAAAGGTAAAAAAAAAAGTTTATTTGGAAAGAAAAATGCAGAGATTAGCAGATTTTCAGCATTATCTTTTTTATGAACTTTTGACGTGAAATTTAAGTCTAAAATATGCTGACATATAGATCCTTTCATTTAAGCCCGTATTCAAGTTGTCGTCCTTGGATGACGTCATTGGGGGATAGGTGGACAATGCCGATACGATTAAGTACAATAATAGAGGGATATAAAGATCTTAATCCTTTCTCTTGTAAGATTGAAATTGCCAAAATTTTGTGTAATTGAATAAGATTTTACATAAAAAGGATGGTGAAATGAATAAAAATGTTTACTATAATAAGGTTAACGATTTGTTTTAATAGTATACTATATTGCTGTCAACTGATCATGATTACCATTTTCGTTCAGGTAGTTTCGAAAAAGGGCTGCGTAATAATTAATTGCAAGATACTGGTTTATCAAAAATCATTTTGAATTAAGCATTACTATGCCACAGGAAAACAACAATTTAAATCTATGTAATTTCAAAGAAAAAAAATGTAAAGGCATAAAAAGTAAAAATTCTTTTGAATGTACATGACTGTATACTATTTGTGTCTGCAAAAATGCACTCTCAAAAAATCGTACATCACACCAATATATTTAAGCTGGTAAAGTAATATTTTCAACTTGATACATTTTAATTCATACTCTGCTTATCAAATATTTTTTTAAAAAATCACAAACAAAACAACAAAAACAAGTTGTGAAACACGTTTGCAGAAATTCGTTATTAACTGAATTATAATTTTACGTATTTTTGACTGTGCCAGTTGGTAGGACTCTGGATCGAGTATCAAATCAGTAAGGCGTGACCAATAAAGTCCCTAGGATGATCCATAACAAAATTCGGACCATAAATATTTTGACAACTAACAAAAGTGACGTAATCTGATGTTATAACTCTAAAAAATGCACCCTGGTGATTTATGATATCACAGCCAAGTGCCGCTTGTATATACAATATACCAGTGGCGCTTATATATACACATCTATTTATCTATGAAATAAGTTACTGCAAAATGTCTTTATTTTTATAACCATAAGAATAGATTTTTAATATCAAAATTATCTTATTAACGTCTGTTGCGAATCTAAAATTATAAAAGTCAATGCCTCATGGTTTTCGTTCTTTCCGGAATATTTACAAAATTATATCCTTCACTGGTTCTTTGAAATATTTTTTATACGGCATAATGAAAAAGAATCAGTAAGTATTGACAAAATGCATTCTATAATTGTTCTATTAAGCTTGAAAAACAATCATTAAAAGACATTGACAATCTTATTTTCATGTTTGTCACAAATACGCCGGAATTTTCTAAATGACAGAAAATAACACAGAAAACTAGAAAATGGCCATTTAAATTTAAAATAGGCAATTTCAGTGTGTATGGGTGTTTATAAAATATTAAGATTTGATTTAGTTGTGTACGAAACCTTCTCATTTTGCACACTACAAAAAAGCAGGAGTAGTAAACTAGTTTACATTATGTTTTTCAAGTTTTCTAACATTCTTGTAATAAAATGTGAACGACCCTCTTGCTACATGGCCTTATCAATGTTGAACAATATTTTATATATATGTAAACAAAAATTAACCAAGTGCATTATTTCTACTTGCGTGATGGATAGAAGACGTTGACACATTGTTACAATATGTATTCATCATGTAAGTGCTTTAATAGTTTTTCTTATCAAATATTCAAGTATTATAGATCTTTTTTTACCGGGGTATGGTTTTAAAAGCGTTAAATATTCTTTATTTTTGCATGAACTTATTTTACAAAAAAAATAATATAAGTATTTTATCTTACACTCACACACACTAAAATCTATACATTTTAAATTATTATACGTAAACAGACATTGTTTTGAGAGATAGAAATAATATAATAAGTATTATATCTTACATACTAAAATCTATACGTGTGTGTCATCTTATAAATTACAGTGATTATAAATAATAATAATAATAATAATAATAATAATAATAATAATAATAATAATTATAATAATAATAACTTTATTTTGAGAAGATGACATATTGAGAGTACGTACATAATTAACATACAACTTATTTCAAATAAGGCCTTCTATACATATATAAACAGAAAACAGAAATAACAATAAACAGCAATATAATTACGACAAACACTCTTACCAAATACATAGCATTTTTGTGGATTATAAATAATAACGTGTGTAAATTAGTATCTTAACTTTGTATGCACATGCAGACATCAATCAATGTTAACAAAAAAAGAGAGCTATATAAATTTCTGTTAAGAAATCAGTTTAATTAAATGTTTTAGCGCTTTAAGCTGTATTTTATATTAAATAATCCTTTAGTTTACCCTTAAAAGATGACAATTTACTTTGTAGTTTTATGTCAGTTGGAAATATATTCCATAAATGTGCCGCTTTGTATGAAAATGTTTGTTTCATATAATTTGTCCGTGGCCTGAAGTGAATAAGATCATTATTCGCTGAAGAGCGAAGATTATATTTATCATTACAAATATTTTTTTTTACACTTTACGCTTATATTTCTTAAAGTTCCTTAAATACATTTTTCAAACCCACATAATAACCTGATGGCATGTGTATAGTATAAAGTTGTCCCGTTCTTCATCTATTATATCTTTTTTTATGATTTAATTGTTGAAAATTGAATATTGCTATGTCCAACGTTATTATAAACGATAAAATGTGTTTGCAATTTTTGTTTTTTAAAAAATTTGTAGCCATCTCTGTCGGTGGTTGTCTCTTTACAGATTGTTATACTTGTTATATATTTAAAAAGAAAAAAAAAAGAATAATGTAGTAAAATGAATAAAAATTAACAGTACATTGCACAGTCGAGATCTATTCAATTTGTTAATAATCATAAAGATCAAGTCAGACAGACAGACAGACAGACAGACAGAAAACTTTATTTCCTCTCAATATATTATAAATACAATATGAGGATATGCAAAAAACACATATTAAGCAATGTATGGTAATGAAGTAGTCAACCAAGCTATTTATCGTTAAACTGGGTAATTGTGTAAAACAACAAAGAAAGTTGCTTCTTATTATACCTAATTAATCAAGCTTTCACGTTTTGTTTCTTGTTTTTAGATATACCTATCATTGTCCTTCTGGGAGCACTTGGCACAGTTGGTTTGTATATTTCGTTATATAGATGTATACTTTCATCAATTACTGTATATTTATTGAAACGATACAGAATCAACACCAAAAAGAGTCTAATTTTTCAGCCCTTACTTATTGACTTTAAATATTGAGTGGCATTACTGTTTAGTGAACTAAAAGAAACATAATTTTGGTGTCAGAGTAAACTTAAAACTAAAAGTTGTTATGAGCGGGTCCCTCTGATAACATATTTTACCAGTTTAACAAATATTGATGACATAATATATCCAAAATGAATAAAAATCGTTTCAAATAAGCCGTCAAAGCATCCAAAGATAACGTATTCAGTGGTCAAAGAAATATTTTGTTCAGATTAAAAGAGAATTATGATATGATACATGTATGCCCTGTTGCAAAAATGCTCAGAGAAAATTGCATCTCTTGAGTAATTTTCAAAATTAGCGACTGTAAAGAGACTGGTCAAAACCGGCTGACCTTGCCTTAATCCAACAAATTGTACTACGCAAAGATATGTTGTGTATGAGCAAACAAGCGAGATTCGGACCAAGAACAAACATATTTCAGAATCTATCTTTGGGACGTCAATATATTTTTACTTACCTTGCCCTTAACCGGCGGAAAAGGTTAATTAAGATTCTGTTTGTGTGTTAATTAGATTGTCTGGAATGCTACTCCTGTTCGGGTGTGTCATCGGTCAACAGCTGTATCTCAACTACACAATGTCGAACTGAACAGGTATTATATCATCATCTGTTTATAAAAGATCATTTACTTATGTAATGTGCCAGTTACACAAACGGTCGATCCCCAATCGGTCATTTAATTTTAAATTTACTCGCTGTTATGATCGGTTGTCATGCGTGATTTTATTTCTGGTTTTCTGTGTAAACGGCCATCGGTGACAGAAAGCAAATTCAAACGGGGTTGGGTCGGTGATAAAATGCTGAAATACTATCGGTTTTTATCGCCTGTAAATCGGAGCTAAATCGGGCTTAACGCTGATTAATCGGTGTTTGATAGCTAGTCATCAGTGGTTAAACACTTTCCGTCAGATATGGCCGGTGATTCATATTTGGTTATCTTTGTCCGATCGGCGATATCGGTGATTTAGAGCTTGCATATCTCGTGATATAGGTTGCTGTCGGTTATTTGTAAAAAAAAAAAAATACCGATCGAGAATTTTTAACATGTTTAAAAATCCCAATCGGTAATTTTTCACCGATGAAACATATCTTTCCCCAATAGCAGTTGATAGGTGGAAAACAGGTGACCAATAGGTGATATCGGTGTTAAGGCCCAGTTACACTGACGGTCGGTCCCCAATCGGTCATTTAATTTTAAATTTACTCGCTGTTATGATCGGTTGTCATGCGTGATTTTATTTCTGGTTTTCTGTGAAAACGGCCATCGGTGACAGAAAGCAAAGTCAAACGGGAATTGGTCGATGATTAAATGCTGAAATACTTTTGTTTTTTATCGTTTGTAAATCGGAGCTAAATCGGGCGTAACGCTGATTAATCGGTGTTTGATAGCTAGTCATCAGTGGTTAAACACTTTCCGTCAGATATGGCCGGTGATTCATATTTGGTTATCTTTGTCCGATCGGCGATATCGGTGATTAAGAGCTTGCATATCTCGTGATATAGGTTGCCGTCGGTTATTTTTAAAATATTTTCACCGATCGAGAATTTTAAACGTGTTTAAAAATCCCAATCGGTAATTTTTCACCGATGAAACTTATCTTTTCCACCTATCAACTGAATCACCGGCCAAATCTGACGGAAAGTGTTTAACCACTGATGACTAGCTATCAAACACCGATTAATCAGCGTTACGTCCGATTTAGCTTCGATTTACAAACGATAAAAACCTATAGTATTTCAGCATTTTCATCACCGACCCAGCCCCGTTTGAGTTTGCTTTCTGTCACCGATGGCCGTTTACACAGAAAACCAGAAATAAAATCAAGCATGACAACCGATCATAACAGCGAGTAAATTTAAAATTAAATGACCGATTGGGGACCGACCATCTGTGTAACTGGCCCCTAAGAACTCAAGCGAGGCCAAAATGCATTAAAACATAAAATTTGAATTTCTTAAATAGATTAACTGGGAAACTTAAACATAAAAAATGTACAGAATAAAACTGAAAAATATACCTAGAATTAAATTGAAAATCGTATTTTTCTCAGCATTAATTCTTGAAACGCGTTTCAACACTTTCAATTTTGTGTCATTTTTCACAATAAGAATGCTATTCTTGAAGAATGATCTGAAATTTTTTAACACACACTTTTGGTCCAGACCTATTTAAATGGTACATAAATCTCAAAATTATTTCCAGTCCCGGCATGTCAAAATTTCACAGTGAAGTCCCTTCATGTCTTAGATCTTTACATTTTAATACTACTTACAGCTTACGAAAAGGTACTTTTTTGTACTCAAACTTGTATCAAAGAGAGCCAAGGCTTTGAGAGTATTTTCGTTATTTATAAATAAATAATATCTCAATTCTAAGATAATTTCATGAGATACAAAAAATAAGAATGGATCGAAGAATATGATACAAATTTTATTCTGTTATATAGAAGATGTAGATTTCACATACAAACTTCTCTGTTGATTGTAGTCATGTTACACAAACTCCTTCACATCTGGACAAGACACAAAGTTTACCATGGGATGCACCAATAACGACGTAAGTTAACAACCTATATTAACAATTATCGCATGGCTTTGAGGTTTTTCTTTGTTCTTTCCAACCCATTATACTCGGTAAACTTCCAAACTGTATTGATAAATAACAGTACAGTTTTTTAGCTCCTGAGTTTTTTTACGGAGGCTCAAAGGGGGCATAGGGTCAAAGGGAGGATTGGGTAACACATTAAAAATAGAAAGAAAAGAAAGAAAAAAAAGCCGGTTGAACACTGGGTGATGCTCCCCAGAAAGGTTATGGACTTCTTGTTGGTATCTCTTGTGGTTTCAGAGTTATGTCCCGGACAAAGTTCACAGTGTAAAAATGGACAAAGGGCAATAAGTCTAAAATTAGGCAAGACAGAGTGACGTTTACTTCGCAAATCACATCTACTACCTACATGGTTTCTTGTTGATACCTCTTGTGATTGCAGAGTTATGTCCCGGACAAAGTTCAAAGTGTAAAAATGAACAAAGGGCAATAATTCCAAAATAAGGCTGGGCAATAAGGTTTTTGCACTGTACTTTTATTCAATGAGATCTATCTGCCTACAAAGTTTCTTGTTGATACCTCTTGTAGTTTCAGAGTTAATTTTTATATTCCTTTGGGGTGGGGTGCGGTGCGGTGGGGGGGGGGGGGGCAAAAGCGGAAACAACTTTAAACGGCCGTGCTCACTGACTTATTATTTATAGCTAGCTGTGACAGCATGCGCTTGTATAATTTCATTTTATCTGTGGTTTCCAATTGAAACAAAAGTGAAAGGGCACAAGAGAGGGAAAAGCACATAGTATTTTAATTTATATTGTATTACTGTTTTCTGTTACAAAAAAATGGCAATGAAAATGCGATAAAATAGTTATGATATATGAAACTCTTAAGTTATAGGGGTATAACAGTGGCTGTGACGACATTGAGGGATGTTTTTGCCCCCAAAAATGTCGATTTTTTTGCAGAAACAATCCTGAGATATCCCAGTAACTAACTAACTTGTTTCATATACTAAGTATTACTCAACAATCTGATTTGACGTTAAGTAACTATCGCACTATATTGTACTTAGATAAATGTGAACCTTCTGTTTTCATGTGTCAGCGGGCCTTTAAATAATACAATTATTATTATCCGTCGAAAAAGTATATTGACACTATGACAGCTACAATTTAGCGGTGTGTAACACCAAGAGGGATATTTTGTAAACTGGCAATACCGAGAGTTTTCAATAGCACACAGTACTTTGGACCACATAGTATTGAGCAGTCTTATTTGATGATCATACTTAAAATCACTTTGCGTTAGATCATTGTAATCTTACATAGTTTGAGGTTTCATAAATGTTAGAAAACAAAAGCACGGCTGGTTTGCAAGAGTTAGTCTTGGACTTTTTAAATTAAACTCGCGTAACCTTGCATTTTATAGTGTCTGTGTTTATCCTATTGCATTTTTGTAGTTCTTAGGCATGTATATATAATTTAATTAAGATATTATCAGATATATTGCGTGAATAATTTGGCAACACTTCTTTAGTTTAAACGCCCGAATAAATTACATTCAGAAGATACAGTGGACAAATGAATTTTTGGTTTATCCATATATAACTCGCATTTGCTTGAACAAAAATAAAGGAAACAATTACTCTTTTGAATAGTTATAAATGTCTCATAGTTCAAGCAATAATGCTATAATAAATGTCTAAAATTAAGTACTTTTAATATAAATCATAATATTACTATTATATAACGTTTTGTATTTAGCAATGTGGTATTCAATCAGGAATTGTTGGTCGGGACGTTAGTGAACGAGAAACTGACTGTCATGAATGCTGCAGTACAGAGAGGTGTAACAACCAGCTATGTGTCCACTTTAAACGTAAGTTTCTTTTCTAGATATAAGTTACCTAATAGAGTAAAAAAATCTTAATTTATGTAAATTCCCTTGATATGACTTGGTCGGCATATGAAAAGTGTGGTTCTGCAAAAAGGAACAGGAAAATAAACCCCTAAATAAGATAAAGACAACAAAACAAGTGAATACACACACTCACGGACAATTACATATACTAACTGAAAAAATGCTTCGTTTTTATTATATATAATATATGATTTTATAATTACAACTAACGTTGCAATTTCTACCTTGAAACAGAGAGTTTGATACATGCATCCTTCAATTCAAATTGTGAAAAATTTTGAAAATTGAGAATACGCAAATGAAAATGTATATATGACATATCAATGTCATATACTAATCAACGATCAAATGCTAGACGAAGTGCATATTATTTTAATTTACTAGTACTTTAAATTAGTTCAGATAATTCAGAGTCGGTCATTATCTTTAATTCTTATAGTTTTATTTCAGCTACAACGTGTATGGACGATGTGAAAGTAGATTGTGCTTATTTAAACGCAATGTTCAACATATGCAAAGATATTCAGCATTCGAAAAATGTATGTCCAAAATTCTGCGGCCTATGTACATTAGGTAAAGTTTACATTTTCATGTAAGAAAATTCCATTTGTTTTGTAAAGTATATCTAAGTGTTCGTTTCTGAATATTTTACCTAAACTGTCCTATGCAGACACTAATTTCTTCAATACAAGTATAAAATATGAATTGAAAAAAGATAGTACTTTTCTTGTTCTAAGCTTTAAAAAATAAGCTACTTTTTGTACTTCGAACAGTTGATCTGTTACCAAAAACGTGGGATATCTTTTTACAATTTGTAAAAAAAACACAAAAAACAATAAAAAAAGAACAACAAAAAAACAAGACATTGAAGACATTCAAGTTATAAAAAGGTTTAACTTAAACGTGTTATTTTCTTAACTTAAGTGGATGGAAACTGGGCAGAATGGTCGCAGTGGTCGGCTTGTGACGTAACTTGTGAAAAAGGAATACAAACAAGGAAAAGAACATGTACCAACCCTGAGCCTGCACACAATGGCCTTTACTGTGTTGGGAACAAAACCGATACAAAAGCATGTTTATTACAGCCATGTCCAAGTAATTTAAAATTAACATTTGTTGATTAATAAATAATAAATTTAAAGATAACAGTTTTAGTTGATACCATTGCAAGAAAGTAGCATATGTTAAGACAATGAAATTATATTATTATAGCGCTCAATATTTGACAAGAAAGCATCATTTAGTGTTTAGTTTGTCTTTAATGAAGTATGAAAACTGTTGAGCGTGTCGATATCTAAACATTGTTTGACATAATAATTAATAAATAAGGTTCAAATTATGTTCGTTTTTTCAGTCCATGGTGGATGGACAGGATGGGAAAATTGGGGTGCATGCTCAGTAACATGCGATGTAGGGGTACAAAGAAGGGTTCGTAACTGCACAAATCCTTACCCTTCACGCTTTGGAGATCATTGCTTTGGAGATCCATTAGAATACAAAATATGTATGCAAGCTCCATGTGCAAGTAAGTCATATAACCGTGATAAATAAGGATACCGATGAGGTTTTTCTTTGTTTTACAAAAATGTTTTTAGGCCGATAATGATAAATTTTGTGGTTTAAAAAGATATTTTGGCTATATAGATGTGAAAAGAGAAGTCCCAGTAATCAAGGTATGTATAAGAGAAGAAGAAAATGTTTATTCTGAGTGATTATACGTGCTTTACCAGAGATATTTTGACACTAGGCATTAACGTACTTAAACACATATGAACTCTTCAATAACATTGATATCAATTTTCTGATATAAACATTGTATTGAATACACAGACGGAGGATGGTCTTCGTGGGGAACATGGACAACTTGCTCGGCAACATGTGATGGAGGTTTGCGATCCAGATTCAGAAACTGTTCAAATCCATCACCATCTCTACATGGGCAATATTGTGCTGGGCCAGCGACAGAGGTGGACGATTGCAATCAGAAACAATGCGGTAAGTAACTTGAAATTCAAGAAAAAAATCATCATAATTATTTTTAGAGAAAAATTGCATCAAATAAAGTTTTATCGCATTTGATTCCAAATTACATGGTTCAATATTTTATGTCTGGTCATACTACTCATAATTGCAGTTGAGGAAACCATAATTGATAATTATAAGCAGTAAACAAACTCAATGAAATAAAGGTAACGAATTCATCTTTATGATTTCCCCCGAGGGTTTATTTTCCATATTGTTTTACAGCAGTATGTAAATGACATGCCGCCCTAATATCTTTGGTTGATATTCAAGGACTAGTACATTTTTTTGTTGGAGATCAAATAGAGGGGTAAAGGCTTTTTTGGAGTATTTACATCTGCATACGCACGAGAACTCATTTAAAGACCGAATTTAATATACTGGGATCATATATATTTACCGGACAAAAATCAGTTTACCAGACAAAGCTATTCCTTCCGAATATATAGCGCTTTATTTTTTGATTTGATTAAAAAATCATACGTACCGACTGAATCGTACACACACTTTCTATTTCAAAGTAAATAACAACAAAACCACCCTCAGGTAAATATTGTTGATTCAATTATTTATCTTCTAACATGCCATTTTGTTTACTAGTTATTTCATGACCTAGTCATGCGGGGGAATAATCTGTTCTGCGCAGGCCCGTATATGGAGGCCCTTAATGGGTTATTTTAGATAGGTTTTACTTTCCAAACAGTATCTCGTTGTTGTCATTTACAAAAAAAATGCAAATTAAAAAAAAACATATTAAGAACCGGGTTACGCCCATGGGAGGAAACTCTACATGAAATGTAAATAAAATAGATTGTATGGCTTTTTAAACATGCTACACGGTGACCAAAAAGAAACTGTATGACAAAGAAGAATTGAATTCCATTTGAATATCAAAATGTTTCATACATTTAATCAAAACGTTAATTGAGTTAATAGTGTTAATTTCAATTACACCTTATATATAGGCCAATTCGTAACAGGCATGGCTGCCGTGTCTATTTCTAGTGACATACTTGTTTTTCCAATACCTTAACCTTGCCCTTCAATAGCCGTAGTTTCCTTGCTGATTATTTAAAGATTAATTTCAATTCACGCCTTCAAAATTTTTTGAAACACAATTGAGTTGAATACACGATTATTTTCCTCTTACAAAGCCTTACTTTAACGACACATTTCTACGGTCAAATGTTAAATTTCATGTTTGATAAAGGAATGTTTACGTGTATTAAGAACCCAAAATTATTTTGGTAAAATTCCATTCTTTTTTATTATTTTAAATAAAAGTTACAGAATAAAAAACATCATATTTTGTCCGGTAATATGTAGGATCCCAGTAAGTATTTTCAAATGGACCTTGGCAAAATTTGTTATTATGAATCAGTCAATATTTGAAAAACAACATCAGCAAAACAACATATTTATAATAGTCTCTAATGAATTGCATGCAATATGCAAATCTTATTATTTAATGGCTCTTACACCGTTAAAGCTGGATTTCTAAGGATACGATTGCGTCTGCATTTTCTATTGATGATTGGCGTATGCGTTTATCTCAATCTAATCCCAAGTTTCTTATACCCCATTCGGGCAAAACTAAACTAGATTTTCTTACAGTTTTGCTTTTAATGCTTACTTTCTAACATGTAGAAACACAACCAAAAATTATCGAATGATATGTTTTAAACGTATAACGCATACGGATTGTTAAAGCAAATATTTTCTTTAAAACTTGCAAAAACACAATAAAGTCTACTTTGGTTTATTTTGGTGACACATAATATGAGTAGCATCAATGTGATTTCTAGAAATATATCATACTAGTATTTATCGTTTGATGCCCTGTTTCATTGCCGATCAAGTTTCAGTTGTCATTTAAAAAGGTTTGAAAAATAAAAAATGACTGTTTTAATAAACGCAATACGTAAATGCAACTTTTAACATTTCCCCTGAAATTTCTACTGGGATTCAAAATAAAAATAAGTCATCAATTTCTGTGATGAAACTAATCTTTCGACGATATCAATCACTACCTTTATATACTTTGACCGTGACGTCATCATTTTTACAATTTGTCCTAGTTGATCTGTTTTAGAATTTCATGTCTAGAATCTAGTGTTGATTTTTTATTTTAAGATTTTTCTCTTAGACTTGTGAAATAGTTAGATACGTAACTTTTTTGTTCAAAACAGCAAATCTTCAAATCCATATAGAAATAAAGACAAATAGATCTGCCTGTCTGATCATGAATCTCAAGAAGATAAATTGTATACATTCATCCGGATGTTGGTGACACCATCTACATCCTTATATCAATTGAAGGAACAATAATAGGTAATTGAATTGATTCTAACCAATTCAATGAATTTTAACCAAGAATTTCATACTGTAAGATTTTCATTTGATGACATCCGATGGTCCAAGTGCGATGAAATAAACGTTGCATGCCCCATTATGTTATCCGTGTCCGAGGGGCGCCCCTGGCCGAGTGGTTAAGGTCGTTGACTTCAAACCACTTGCCCCTCACCGCTGTGGGTTCAATCCCGACAGGGACTTTGGATTCTTTCATGTGAGGAAGCTATCCAGCTAGCTTACGGAACGTCGGTGGTTCTACTCAGGTGCCCGTTCGTGCCTGAAATAATGCACAGAAGGGCACCTGAGGTCTTCCTCCACCAGTAAAGCTGGAACGTCGCCATATGACCTATACAGTGTCGGTGTGACATAAAACAAAAAAAAAACAACAACAAACAAACAAACAAACTTATCCGTGTCCGATCAACGAGCAACGCAGTTGTATGAATTATCTCATAAACACAAAGAAAGTACAATTCATATTCAGTCATGTTTATTGCACATAGACACGCACAGGAAGATTTCTAGATTAATAAAAATTATCAAGAATGGATAATGGATATAATAGTGGAATTGTATGGGATTATAGGCAACGCTAATATGGGTAAAAAACAGTTGATAATGTTTTTGATAACTATGATTCTTAACATTTATATATAACTTTCAAAAGTAAACCATTACGTTATATATCAAACAATATAACACAACAGATGAAACCATAGATACATGAAGTCACAAAAACTTATTTGCCTCATCAAAACTTTGCTCGAAGAGTAATTGACACAAATGATTCAGAACCAAAGTATTTCAACATCCAAAACCAGATTCTGGAGTACCTTTCGTTCTTGGTCGGGATTTCGCTCCCATTATACATCAACTCGTAGTACAAATTGTTGGACTAACCCTGCTGCCTTGCATCACAACTTTGAATTTGCACATGTAATAACTGCCATTATAACATAATTTAATAGGCACTGCTAACATTTCTTAATGAATAGAAAAATCAGGAATAAATTCTGCAATTCCTCGGCAAAGAATCTCTTTAAAAGATACTTCTTGTTATCGTTTATAAGCATCAACATCTCGAATCATGTCTTTCTCACATAAATAGTGAATATACCTTCCGATTTCATTAAATTTTGCACTATGCTATTGTTATTTCATTTTGTAAAGTTTGTTTTCCATTAAAATAAAAGAAAACGAAAAAACAACAACAACAAAAACCAAAACAAAACAACAGAATCGTAAAAAAGGAATTTCAAATGCTGCTGGCTTATGATATAGATGATGACATGTGGAGAAACGCAAGTCTTGTCTTTGATCGAATCTTGTAAACAACATTCCTTCTTTAGTTTTTAGAACATGTCAAGGAAATGTTAATCCGATCAATTATATATTTGTTGTAATAAGAGGAAAGAAATCCAAGAATATATAAATTATATACATTGTGTCATATAAACTATGTATATTCAACATGCATTTTACTTATATATATATATTCTTTATTATAGTCTGATCTATACAAACATATACAATTAAAACAATATACATACAGTAAATTGTACAGCCTTTCTTTTAAGAATTATAACAGACTGTTATAGTTTATAAGAGGGGCAACTCCACAGTCCATATTACAGAGATCTATAATATCTACTATAGATTTACCTCCCTTATTTACATAATTATACACATTTACATGTCACTATAAACACATCATTATTAATATCTCTAAGACATTTACAAGTAAAACAGCATATTCCAAGCATTGAATGTTATACTTAAAATAATTAAAATGTACTAATATTTATACCTACAACATAACTGTATGAGTAATTACATTAGGGTTGTTAATATTAAAATGGAAGAATGAAATCTCATTACTGTACTAAACCCTAAATGGTTGTCTCCTTATAAATGTACTAAAATCATCTATACATACTTATTATATTTTGTCTTTATACATTCTAAAAGTTTGATAACAACCACTGACCTCAACTTAAAATCTGCCATAAGAAATTTGTTAATAAAATACTGAATTTTGTAAATGTGACACTATTGCGCATAATAAAAAATGTCTTACAAAATCATATATCACTCATGGTCAGACCATGGATGGACTGGTCAGTGGTGATTATCAAAACAGGAAGATAAAATTTTCTAGTTGATTTAAAAATACATTTATAACATTTATACAATAAAAGTTCTTTTGTTATTAAAATGTTCATTTTAGGCAGGAGATGAGACACACACATCATCAACTTCAAATTTTTTGAAATTAATAATGTGTATCGTCACCCTCCACCTAAAATGAAGCAATTAAAATATATATTTATTGGTACAAAAAATCTCTTCTAACATTAAGTATTTCGTATCAGGATTTTGCAGTATATTTGACAATATCATCATTTGACAAGAGGAAGCAAAACTTGGCAATATCATTATAAGAATTAAACAAAGTACAATTTTCAGCAGCATTTTCTTGCGAATATCAGTGTACTGGGGGCAATGCAATAATACGTGCATCTCATCTTCGATGCCATTATTACAAATAGGACATACTCTATCGTTAACATTTAATCTTTCGTATCTGCCAATCTCCAATCTGATTGGTGCAACACCACATCTAAATTTAGTTTCAACTTGTGTCGCACGTAACTCAAAAAGGATTTGACCTAGAGTCATGAAACTTTACAGGAATGTTGATCAGCATGTGTAATTGTGCACTTAGGTATTTTCGTGTGGATTTATTTAGTATTTTTAGAGTAATTGCACTTGACTTAATAAAATTTTGTAATTTTCAACTTGTGTCACATGTAACTCAAAAAGGATTTGACCTAGAGTCATGAAACTTTACGGGAATGTTGATCAGCATGTGTAGTTGTGCACCTGGGTATTTTCGTGTGGATTTATTTAGTATTTTTAGAGTTATTGCCCTCGACTTAATAAAATTTTGCAATTTTCAATATGTGTCGCATATAACTCAAAAGGATTTGACATAGAGTCATAAAACTTTACAGGAATGTTGATCAGCATGTGTAGTTGTGTACCTGGGTATTTTCGTGTGGATTTATTTAATATTTTTAGAGTTATTGCCCTTGACTGAGAATATTTTTGCAATTTTCAACTTGTGTCGCATGTAACTCAAAAAGGATTTGACATAGAGTCATTAAACCTTACGGGAAGGCTGCTCAGCATATGTAGTTGTGCACCTAGGGTTTCGCTTGTGGATTTATCCAGCATTTGTAGAGTTATTTCCCTTGACTTAGTAAAAACCGTTTCATTATGTTGTTATTTGAGTGCTTGAGTTAGAATCAACCAACTTTACAGGAATAATGATCAACATCACTAAATTACAGGAAAAATGATCAACATCACTGTGAAGCTATGCACCTGGAACTTTGCATGTGGATTTTTTTCAGTTTTGTTAGAGTTATTGCCCTTGTCTTGCAGTAGTATAAATATGCAATTTTCAACTTGTTCATGCATAGTTCAAAAAGTATTTGACTTGTAGGCCTGAAAGTTTACAAGAATGTTGGTCAGCATGTGTATTAATGCACCTTTGGGTTTGCTTGTGGATTTATATCAGTATTTGTAAAGTTCTTGCCCTTTACTTAGTAAAAGATTTTTAGTTTTCAACTTGTGGCACATGTAGTTCAAAAATATTTGACCTAGAGTCATAAGATTGACAAAACAGTGGCGTGTAGGGGCACCCGTGTCCTATGGACACATTTCTAGTTTATCACATTAATGATTTATGTGGTGTTGCCCTGAGGTTTACCTTCGTTAAATATTTTCTATATATTGACTAATTTTGTTGTTGATTTATTTCATGCTGATCATATTGTTTATATCCCATTCCTTATTCGTTGGTGTTTCTCTGATTGCAGTTATTGTCTTCCTTGCTCATGGTGTCACAGATACAACACCTCGATCTGGTCAGGATCTAGTATTTCCCACTGTTCTGTTTAACGAGGGAGGAGCATATAGCAGTTCTACTGGAAAGTTCACTGCCCCCTTGAATGGGCCATATTCATTCAGCATTAATATTTGCCATACGACTGGGCAGCATTTATATTTAAAGTTTATGGTTGAAAGTAAGGTATACTCAATAGTAGATTTTTATGATGGTTATTCTGCCGTTTGTCAATCAACCGACATCGATGTATACTTACATAAAGGCGAACGCGTGTGGATAACTTGCGTTGGAGGAAATACAACAATATCATCTGAGAATCAAAATTCGAGGACATTCTTTTCTGGCGCTTTAACTCGTATCTAGCTTAGTGTTTTATTTAACGTTACTTCTTTTTTGTGTCAATGTTTTCCATGTCGTCATAATGTAAGCCCCAGAAAAAATATAGCCAATCTACGAGCATGTAAACATTACTAAAACACTTCCCTATGCTCATCATCGTCTTGTCTGTTATAACCATGATCTAGAGTGTCATATTTCTGGCAACAGTTATACAGTCAATTATCACATTATTTATATTACTAACTTGTTAGTTTTCGTGTGAATGAGGTACATAAAAGATATCTGTGCAATTCAGTAGATAAATTTCTTTTAATGACGAATATCTATTAAACTTGCAAATTTACTTACCAGATAAAAATTAAATATCTGCTTATATGCATATTTTTATGTTAGTTTGTTAGTAAGATAAATATCAGATGATAATGTGTATAATGATGCTGAAGACTTCAGACATATCCTCTGCGGTTTCCAATTATTATCTGACAAATCTGCTAACACTTATCTGTTAAAAACATGTAACATATAATTATTTGTTTATCAACTAAACTTTCGTGTTAGTTAGGTTTTGAGTGAGTGAGTTAGTTAGTTCATCATTTAACTGTTTAACAGAAAACAAAACTAGTAAATCGCATAAATTTTACTTTAAGTTATATCAAATAACGTGTTTAACTCCTGGCAGACATGTTTCATCATTATGATTCCTCAGAATTTATTAAATACACTTTTAGATCTGAGATGAAATTTAGTTGTAAATTCTCAAACTGAATAAAGTTCATTTAAGTTATTTGCTTTCTATACTTTCCCCCCTGTTTCTACTATTCTGAATAACTAAAAAAATACAAACAAGATTGCATTTGTGAAAAATGCTATGCCACCGCATTAATACAACACTAAATAGTAATGTATGAACATAACATAATAGAACAAACAGTTATTCAAGACTTGTACAATAAGTACATAATCATTATACATATACATAAATAAATAGTACATATGATTTGATGTCACAATGGAAAATAGCACATTATCACAAATTCATATTTTGAGAGGATGAACTGTATTTAATTACATTGTATAAGTAATAGAATTTCTATGAGAAAGTGCGAGTTTAATATAACTAGCAAGATTTTTCAAAATAATCTTATTTTTTTTTGCACTGAACAACTCTACAAGTTTAATTACACTTGGATTGATATAATAATAACGTTTAATATATCTTTTCGAATATTATTATAGCATGGACATATAAGTATAAAAATAATGATATTCATCTTCAAGGTCCTGTGTATTACAGTACATGTGTATGTACAATAACGCTCATTTCTAGCAACTCTATTCGTACCATATCTACCTGTTTGTATACGTAAGGAATGAGAAGACATTCTTATTTTACTAATACACAACCTTAGGTTACTAGGCAGTATATCAAGGTAAAGCTCATACAAAAAGTATTTTTAAGGTTTGTATACAATGTTAAAACACCACTGTTCTCCTTATCAACATGCCAACTTTGAATAAAAGTGTCTATCAGTCTCTGTTTAAACAAAGGTATAAATGATTTACTGTTAACAATATTGGGATCATCCTAAACATAGTTAAAACCATATTGATATAATAAATTTTTTACCTTAGTTAACCAATTACTTTTACCGTTATTGCAATCACTGAGACACTTTAAGAATAATGTTTTCTGTTTCAAGTAAGCGAAACCAATACTTAATTATCTTAACATATCTTCCAATATACAGTGGATAACGAGCCAGTTCACCATAACCAGCTGCATTTGAAGTTCTTATATTTACATTTAATATTCTTTTACAAAATTTTAGATGTTTTCTTTCAATTTCTTTAGACTTACTGTGGCCCCAAATCTCAGCTGCATAATTTAAGATTGATCCAACAAAAGAGTCAAATAGCTGACATAATATATAACTTCGGTTTCACTTTATATTTGTTACAGTTTATCAGTAATACATTTAACGCTTTCAAAGCTTTACCAACAAGCTGTTCCTGGTTTAATACAAAATTACCAGTATAATTAAAAACTGTACCTAAATAATTGAAATCATTTACAACCTCTAGGTATTTGTCATTATACAAAAACTTTTCAGAGGACAACAAACCACCTCTCTTCCTAAAAAGCATAACTTTAGTCTTATCTACATTAACCTATAGACTCCACTTTGTACAGTAATTGTGTAATAAAACTAATCCTCAGGTGAATTGCCTAGAATGGCCATATCGTCTGCAAAAAGCCACACTATAAAAATATGATATCATTAAACTCTAAACCACAATTTATATATTACGCTGCAAAAACTCAATGTCATCAATAAAAAGAGAAAATAAAACCGGCGAAATTATCTCCCCTTGACGTAAGCCTATAGCGTTTTCGAAAAACACTTAATAATTATTACACACTTTAATACACGATTGAATTTTATTGTACATATCCTTAACAATACGCAAAATAATTTACCCCTAATACCAGATTTATGTAATTTTAACCAAAGTGCATGTCTATTAACACTGTCAAAAGCCTTTTTAAAGTCAACAAATACGCAATTCAAACGTTTATTGTCGTTAATATATTTCTGAACAATAGAAGATAACACAAATAAAGCATCAACAGTAGATTTGCCTTTACTAAACCCAAACTGGGCATTTGACAGTAAACAATTTGCTTCACAATATCTATAAATTCTTTTATTTATATTAGATGTAAATATTTTTGACATACAGCTAACTAAAGTTATGCCTCTACTGTATAGTTATTTACCTCATTCTTATCTCCCTTTTTGTGCAAAGGAATTATTACTCCTTCAGTCCAATTATCCGGAAAATATCCGCTATCAAGTACTTTATCAAATATATCACATAAATGTGAAGACAATATATCAATTGACTCAATAAAATATTTATTTAATAGAAAATCGTGTCCGTAAGCCTTTCCTCGTTTCAAGGAATCGACAGCATCTATAATTTCATTAACAGATATTGGCCGATCTAAAAAGTCATCAGCATCATCACTAAAGTTGAAATCTTGAGTTGAGGCAAAATTCTCAGATTCAACATTAACATTTTGAAATATATCATTTCCTAGTTCCGAAAAATATTTGAAAAATGACTCTAGGGAAAGATTATTAGCAACAACATTTTTTCTTTTAAAATATTTCCAAAACTCCTTTGGTTTTGATAACCTTAAATTTTCAATTTCCCAATTTCCTTAACTTGCTTCAGGTTATAACAACTTCGTTTTCTCCTCATTATAGCCTTATACCTAGCCGCCCTTAACAAGCATAATTGTTGCCTATTTGTTGTCTGAGAACAAAGAAGAAACAGATATTTCTCTTAAAGCTTCAATTTTGAATAAAGTGGTTGAAAGGGGCACCCCAGATGATTTTGGAAATAGTTGTTATAGATGTTATAATTTTTGGGGGAAAACGGTAATGAAATAGAAGGGTCATAGTTAAAAAAAACAATACTGTAATTTTTAAACATTAAAGGCGGGGAAATTTGGTATTAAAGGGTATACGTAACAGACGAGCTTACTTCAAACAAAGATCCCATTGCGGAATTTAAAAATTAAGGGAAAAAACAGGCTTTTTCCCTTTAAAAAAAAAAACTTCAAACGATGGGGAAAAAAAAAGGGTAAACATTATTAAGCAAGGGCGTAAAAATCCCAGGAAAGCTCGGTAGGGAAGTTAACCAGAAAATGACATAAATCATTTGGTTTTAAAATAGCGATCGGCCAAACCCCATATAAAAACAAAAAGAAAATTTAGTTTTCTGGAACATTGAAGGATTTGTGTCAAAAACACTTTTTCATGATTTTATTCTTTATTTGTCAACTTTTGAAATATTTGCATTAGGAGAAACCTGGGAAGAAAATAATGATCTTACAAATAATATTTTTGTGTCACATAAATGTTACTTTTTTACCAGCTGTTAGAAATTCGATGTTTTGGCAGGGCCATGGGTGGCATGTCCGTGTATGTAAAAAATGAATTGATTAAATATATTTACACGTGTTATCCATGAATGTGAAGTAGGCATTTATATTGAAAATTTTCAAAGTCTGTTACAAATTAGCTAAAGATACATTGTTATTTTTTTGCCTATTTACCACCACTTGACTCCCCTTTTTATAGTAATAAAACATTAAAAGGTGTATCAATTGGAGGAAGTATTTAAACTCTGCTATTAGTAATTACCAAGACTGTAATTATTATTATAATGGGTGATTTAAATGCAAGATGTGGTGAATTGAGCGAATGCTTAAATGTTGAACACAATATTAACCAACTTGAAAGAAATAACCAATTTTTTCAAAGTCCAATTGATGAAATACGTAAATCTTGTGATAAGACTATCAATTTCGCAGGGTAAATTATTTATTGAAATGTGTAAAGTGTATTCTTTATATATCATGAATGGGCGTTTTTGGACAAGACAAAAATTATGGTCATTTTACGAATACTTCTACTTTGGGCTGCAGTGTAATTGATTATGCATTATGCTCAGAAGATTTGATAAGTAATATTTACAGATTTTAAAATTGATGAAAGGGGTGGCGAATCAAAGCATTTTCATTAAATATAAAGCTGAAAATGTATAAAAAATGAAAGAGAAAAATTAAATGCCCAAGGGAATAACAATTTTATTCTTTTACAAAATCCCATATAGTGATAAGAATGTTTATCAAGAGAAAACTGAGTGAATTATTCACAAAAGATGTAATGTTGAACTTTGTAAATCCATTTGAGGACACTCAAGTTGGGATCGATAATATTGTATCTAATTTAGTACATGTCTAACTGTATTGGTAAGCATTTTCAAAAAAAAGGTCAAATTTTAAGCTTCCTTCATCACCAAAAATGGTTCGAGTTTTTAGATTGTAAGATTTTAAAAAATCAAAAATATAAACTGTTAAGACAATATAGGAATTGTAGGTCTGACATAAATTTGCAAAGATATCTTTAAAACGAAATGAGTTTAAAAAACAAGTGTAATTTGAAGATGCGAGAATACAATAAACAAAAACCTTGATGACCTAGAACAGCAAAAGTTAACGATCCTAAGTCATTTTGGTCAAAACTTAAATCTATGACTGGCAAGAAAAGTTAGGACAGTAAACAATATTTCTACCCAGGAATGGCTTGAATATTTTACAGGCCTTGCTAACCCTTATGAATGTGATGAAAATACTGGTGAAAAAATTTAGAAATGATTAAATGAAGAAATAGATAAGATGAAGTTGATCAATATACATTTTTAATTCTGAGATCACTGAAGATGAAGTAGAATGGCTGTAAAGCATATTAAAACTGGTAAAAACCAGGTCCTGATAATCTAATCCCAGAGTTTTTCATTTACGGGGTATAGATAGCTTTATACATATACTTGTTAAATTGTTTAATCGACTATTTGCTACAGGCGAGTATCCAGAAATCCTGGTGTGAATCTTCACAAAAAAGGGATATAAACAATTGTGGGACAATTATAGGGGTATAAGTTTACAAAATGTTTTAGGTAAAATATATTGTGGATTTTAGTGGCTCGTTTGAATTTTTTTTGCACAAATATATAGTAAAATTTCTGAAAACCAGAGTGGTTTTAAAAACAGGAATACTCACTGTGGATAAATGCATTTATTTTAAAAATCTTTAAACGATAGACTAGTTAAAAATAAAAAACAAAAGATATTTGTTGCATTCATTGATTTTCATAAATGTTTTGATACCATAAATAGACAAATTCTTTGGAATGTACTTAGAAATGGGG